ACACACACACACACACACACACTCCAGCTGCTACTCTGAGTTCAGCTTCAGTGTGTGTTATTGTTCGTGTGTTTCCAGCATCTCAACATTGAGAGATGTTTCTGTTATTATACAGACGTTTCTCTGTGTGTGTGTGCGTGTATATGTGTGTGTGTGTGTGTGTGTGTGTGCGTGTGTGCGTGTGTGTGTGTATGTGTATGTGTGTGTGTGTGTGTGAGTGTGTTAGTGTGTGTGTGTGTGTGCTTGTGTAAGTGATGATGGTTTGATGATGGTTGCTGTATTTCTGTTGTGCTGTGCTGCTTGGTTTGGCTGGAGTTGATCACTGATGGAGTTCTCTACACAGGACTGATTCTGAAGTCTCAGTAACGTCATCATCGTCTCTCGTTGTTTCCGCTGGTTCTTCTTGTCCCTCAGTGTCTGTCACAGCTCAGTTCAGTGCAGGTTCTGTTCCTGTAATAAGTGTGTGGTGTGTGTGTTTCTCTCTGCAGGTGTCTCTGTGTCGTGTGGATAAAGCAGAGCGTGTGTTGTGGAGCTCCAGTCCTCCGTCCTGTCAGCAGCAGAGCCCCGGGCCCCTGACCCCCTCCGGCCCCCAGCCCTGCGCATACACACACACACTGAGCCCCAGACGGCAGGGCTCCTCCGCACCGCAGACCAGCAGAGATGCGCCCTGGAGCTGCAGCGCCGCCGAGAATAAACCCGCAGCCGGCTGCACATACTCAGGTGACAGCAGCACGTCTCCACATCTACAGTCAGTCGATCAGCAGACGCTTGAGTCCAGAACACTGGAGGAGGCATTCAGAGATCCAACAACAAGAACACACACCACAGCTGAGCATAGAGGATCTGTGTGAGCTCAGAGGAGCTGGGGGTCTTTTGGAGAGGGATGGAGAGAGTAGAGCTGCTGCAGGTGCTCCTGGTGTTCTTCTCCATTAGTTTAGGCAGCGGGGTTAAGCTGTTCTCAGAACAGACGAGATTGTAGTTGTCATTTAAAGGATACAGGTGAATCCGCAGCAGGCATGTTCTCTCTTGGAGAGCAGAATCTGGGGTTTCTCTGTATCAGCAGCAGCAGACGGGTCCAGGAAGAGCAGGAGGATGATCTAGAACCTGCTTTGGCGATCTGCAGGGCTTCAGTGACCCAGAGTAGTGCAGTCTCAGTGGAATGAGGAGGGCGGGGGAGAAAACGACCAGAATACTGTGTGTGTGTGTGTGTAACTGCAGTGTGTAACCTCTGTCCACAGGAGTGCTGCGGGGGGGAGCCTGTAAAGAGGAGTCGGGTCTGATCCGCCGCCTGCAGCCAGACACACAGCGGCGCCGACTGACGGAGTCACCGTATGAGGACAGAAACACACACAGAGCCCCGGGGCCGGCCGATGGGGACGGCAGGAGGCTCCTGCTGGGGGTGCGAGTCCCCGCTCAGGGCCCGCTCGTCTCCCTCAACCTGCACCACTGTCTGCTGTCCAAACACAGCTCTGTCCCGCCGGCGCCGTACACTCACCGTGGAGAGCAGCGGACCCCGTACCTGCAGCAGAGCCCCAGCCTGGCCTCCGCCGGCCCCCGGGGGCCACACTACATCAGCACCTCCGTCATCATCAGCGGCGAGAGGTGACGCTGCGGCCGTAAATCACAGCGCAGAACTGCAGGACACCTCAGCCATCACACACACAGACGAGGAGGAGTGTGTTCATCAGGTGTCTCCAGTGCGCTGAACGCTGAGATATGCGAGTGTGTGCTGACTGACACAATAACACACACACATGCTGCGCTGCAGACACTGAGCATCACTGAAGCACGCAGCGCTCGCGGCACTCAGTGTGTCAGAACAGTGGAGCAGGAGCTGCAGCATGACCCGCCTCATCACTCACCAGCTCTGCATTTCTGTTGTGTTCGCCACTGAACACATCATCATCACCGGTGCTCCTGCAGCGCTCTGTAGCTGGACCATGAGTCCTGCAGGTTTGTGTCGACGCCTCAACATTTATCAGCACACTGCAAAAACACCTGCTCTTCTTCAATCTTCTGTCTTGTTTCTAGTCTAAATCTCCAACAGCTCTTAAATTAAGAAGCAACAAACGTGCTGTTTTAATAAATGATGGCAAAATGAAGGAGTTTTCCTCAAACAGACAAATACACTCATATCGAAAGGAAAAATACATTATTCTGCTCACCCAGGCAGATTATCCTGCTTGAAAAACTCGTTATTAATGAAAGCAACACAATATTTTTGGCTTCTCTACGCTTTAACAAGCCCACATTAGAAGCGCTGGGTCAGTGTGGAACACACGTCAGACAGACAGCAGTGATATCTAGATGTGCTTTGACTTGTGTTTGATTGCAGACGACACAACACGCATTATTAATGCGCTCCTGATGATTATTACAGGTTAAACGTGTGTTATAATGTCAGTTCCTGCACATTCAGACAGCGCTGCATCAGTGAAGCGTTTCCCCCTCTGTACCGCTGCCGCTCCTCTTCACAACACTTACAGACGATTAGCGACTGAAGACAGCGAGTGCTGAAGTGTTTCAGGGTCATTCTGCCTCATTCCTCCTGCAGGTGGGCAACAGTACGGGCTCTTCCACACATTCTCTATTGGAGACAGGTCGGGACTGCAGGCAGGCCAGTCCAGCGTCTGTCTCCTCCTCCTCTGCAGCAGGTAATGTGAGCTGAATGTGGTTCTGCATTGTCTTGTTGGTCTCTGCAGGGCGTCTCTGGAGCAGAAGGCAGCATATTGAGCTCCAGAATCTCTCTGTGCTGTTCAGCATTCATGGAGCATCACAGAAGAGCAGTTCACCTTCACCAAGAGCACCGACACAACCCCAGACCATGACAGAGCCGGGCTTCTGGACCTGTTGCTGGTGTCAGTCTGGATGATCCTCTTCTTCTTTGGTCTGGAGCACATGACGTGAACCTGAAACACTGCTTCATCTGAGCACCGGACACGTCTCCACTGTGTGATGCTCCATCCCAGAGCCCAGAGAAGCACTTCTGGACACTGTTAACATAGGGCTTCCTCTTGGCACAGTGCAGTGTTGGCTGGTGTTTGTGGATGTCGCTCTGTATTGTGCTGCTTGTCACAGGTTTAGCGCAGTAGTGCTGAGCCCATGTGCTGATCTGCTTATAGATGAATGAGGACTCTTGGTGCAGCGCCCCCTGACGGGTCGGAGGTCACGGGTGTTCAGCTTAGGCTTGCGCTCTTGTCCTACACGCACTGAAACTCCTCCAGATTCCTTCAGTCTGTAATGCTGTTCTGCTCTGTTGAAGGTGAAATCTCCACATGTCACATGACATCATTATTCAGCAGATCACCTGATCACTGCCCTCCTCCTCTGTGTAGTGTGCTGCAGGATTTGTGTTTATTTAGAAAAATTAATCATCAGTAATAATCCTGAGGGACATTAATGACGTGTGCTGTGCTGTCAGCAATCAAACACAAGTCAAAGCACATCTAGATATCACTGCTGTATTATTAGTGTTTTCCACACGGACCATGCTGCTTCTGATTTGGGGGTTTTAGATATGTAAACAGAAGCCGTGGCCGTGTGTTTTGGCGTCGACCACATTATTAATGCTGGAACCCAGAGTCTGCCATGCGCAGTGACTGATGCTACTCGATGATGCTAAAATGAATGGAGCTGATGACTTAGAATCTCAATAAACACAAGAGGAGATGAGTCTGTGTGTGTGTGTGTGTGTGTGTGTGTGTGTGTGTGTGTGTGTGTGTGTGTGTGTGTAAGCAGGTAATAATCTTTAAAATGAGAGTAAATCTTCACATCAGCACATTATCTGTTGCACAGCTCATGTAAATGTGCATCATTATTATTGCTCCGTTGTTCACTTTCTACACAATGCTTTTGTCCAATTTGGGATTCCAAAGGACTTTACTTCTACTTAGCTTCTCAAATTCAGAAATTGCAAGTTTATTTCAGGGTGTAACTTACTTTTTTTTTTTTATTATTATTATTATTATTATTATTATTATTTAAACAGATTTACAAGCAGCTTTAAAATTAAACTGGTTTCAAATCAATTCATGCACTATTTTTAGTTTTCCTTTTTTCCCCCTTTATTCAATATGCAGAGAATGTGTGACACTGGAACACAAAAGCAGTCTTATTTTGCACAATAGCCAACAGTACAATGTGAAAAAAAAAATTAATTTTCCTTCGGCTTAGTCCCTTATTTATCAGGGGTGGCCACAGCGGAATGAATCGACAACTATTTCTGCATATGCTTTACAAAGCAGATGCCCTTCCAAAAGCAACCCAATACAGGGAAACACCCGTAAACTTCCATTCACACTCTTACAATTCCCCTATAGCGGTGGGGCAAACTGAAGCAGCCGGAGGAAACCCACGACAACACGGAGTAAACATGCAGAATTATTAGCCCCCCATTTGAATTATTTTTTTAATTAAATATTTTCCAAATAATGTTTAAGAGAGCAAGGACATTTTCACAGTATGTCTGATAATATTTTTTCTCCTGAAGAAAGTCTTATTGGTTTTATTTTGGCTAGAATAAAAACAGTTTACATTTTTTAACAACAATTTAAGTTCAGTATTATTAGCACCTTTAAGCTATATATTTTTTTCGATAGTCCACAGAACAAACCATCGTTATACAATAACTTGCCTAATTACCCTAACCTGCCTAGTTAACATAATTAACCTAGTTAAACCTTTAAATGTCACTTTAAGCTGTATAGAAGTGTCTTGAAAAATATCTAGACAAATATTATTTACTGTCATCATGGCAAAGATAAAATAAATCAGTTATTAGAAATGAGTTATTAAAACTAATATGTTTAGAATTGTGTTGAAAAAAATCTGCTCTCTGTTAAACAGAATATATATATATATATATATATATATATATATATATATATATATATATATATATATATATATATATATATATATATATATATATATATATATATATATATATATATATATATATATATATATATATATATATATATATATATATATATATATATATATATATATATAGATATATATATATATATATATATATATATATATATATATATATATATATATATATATATATATATATATATATATATATATATATATATATATATATATATATATATATATATATATATATATATATATATATATATATATATATATATATATATATATATATA